TGCTCTGGAGGACGGGCTCCCCTGTAGGGGAAACCAGCAGACAACGATACTGCTACTCCCGGGACCTTTCGCGGGGTGCGTTCTGACCAGAATTTCGAAATGAATCCAGCCGTGGCGACGAGGGCCTTCCAAATAGGCGGTATCGTTACCTCTTCCTCCTCTGACCTCTGGGGTCCGGGTCGCCGCAACGGCCGTGGTCGCCGCCGGAGACGTGGCCGAGAGCCTTTTCGGGGTATCCTCCGGGTTCCTGAGGGGCAGCGATAGGGGGGGGACTGGCAAAGGGGGGGGTATCGATCTGAAATCGGCGATACATCGCCGATTGATCGGCGATAGGCCCCCGATAGAGAATCTGCACGGTCCTGTGCGGGGTGGGCTATCGGGCCCCTGTAGGCAATCCATTGGCGATTGGGGGTCGATGCATCCTCCCCTGGAGCCTGTTCCCCCCCCCCTATCGTTGCCCCTGATCCTGGTCGGCGCAACAGCCGTGGTGGAGGACCTGCGGGGCGTCTCCACGATATCCTCCGCTGCGATGCAGCTGCCCTCCTCGGCCGCGGTCCCCTCGTCGAACGCGGGCCGCGGAGGGGCCGGTCGCACCGCCACGGGCTCAGGCATCACGGAGGGAGACAAGGTGGGCTGGTAGTCCTTCCGATGGTCCTCGGAACGTGTGCTGGCGCCAACGTGCGGCAGGCAGCACTGCGAGTGCCCGCCACGGGCTGCGCGCTACCGGCGGAGCAGAACTGGCGAACACACAAAAACACACACACAGGGTTAGCACACGCTCTGAGGATCATCGGTCCTTGAGGATCACCTCTGAGAGCCAGGCCCGGCGGGGAGCGTACGTGAGGCCAGCTCGCCAGGCTACCAGGAGGAAGATGGGCAAGCACACGACCTGCACGAAGCCGTAGTACAGCGGAACCCCTGCGGCCTTGCCTCTGTCTTCCTCGTCGAACGTCGCCAATGCTATTGCAAGTGCCAGTCCCGTGTTCTGGTAGCCTGTCTCTACCGTCACTGCGACGGCCTCAGGGGACGAGATGCACGGAAGCAGTGTACCCAAGCAAAAGGCGGACACCAAGCCTGCGACACAGGGTGCCGCAACTGCCAAGTAAAATGTTCCATCCTTATCCCATATTGGGTCATTACTGGAAGAAACCAAGAAACTAAAAATGATCAAACCAACGCCGGCAATATTGCCAAACACGTTGCATCCTTTTCGCCAGCCTGGACGCAAATGGCTGACAAGTAGGCCTGAAAGTATGGCAACCACTGCAACGCCGATGCTGCTGAACAGCTTGAGGTGGTCAAGATTCGCCCCGACTCCATAGGCTGCCTTGGTGTAAATTGCTAAATTCAAGGGTGTGAAAACCATCGATACCATTGTCGAGCACGTAGTCATGGCGATGCTGAGGGCCAGGTCGGCGTTGAAAAGGGAGCACCACCAGTTGCTGTATGCCCCCCCAGGAGATGACGTCACGGCCAGGAGCGAGACGCCGAAGACGGGGTCAAGGTCGAACGCCTTGGCAGACGCGTAGCCTACCGCGGGCAAAGCGAGGAACTGCAGCGACAGACCCACCAGGATCCCAGCGGGGCTGCGGAACCTCTCCCTCAGCACCTCGCCGGGACTCGAAAGACAGCGGCCCGAAAGACTGGAGTGAGGTCTGGCGTGTCCTCCTACAGGCGGATTTGGAGCGAAAATTAGAAATAGTCTTAAAATACCCCCAAAATGCCAAAAATACAAGAAAACTCGTCCCCTGACGATTCCTGGACTATTTTTGAATATTCCTCCTGTAGAGGGGCAGGCCCGACTTAAGACTGGAGGCGCAGGTCCCGCGAGCGGCGGATGGATCCGAAGAGCATGCCGAGGCCACCTGGGCGACATCCATCGATTCGCCTGGCCCCTCTGTAAGGCGCACGTCTTGGCACAGAGGAAAGAGAGAGAGAGAGAGAGAGAGAGAGATCCTCCTCCTCCTCCTCCTCCTCCTCCTCCTCCTCCGCCTCCTCCTCCTCCTCCTCCGAGAAGGAAAAGAGAGGATCGCCAGTTGAGCCTCCATGGTGGGCAAAGGGGGGACCCACAAGCCAAAGGCGCTCGCGGCACCGAGTGGCCAGAAGCCGGACCCGGACCAAGACGAAGCCAGGACGAGGATACGAGCGGACCGAGACAAACAAGACATCACGGAGACCTGCACAGCGCTCTGGCACGTTCCGAAACTCTCTGGGTCGACGCACCCTTGCCCCAGGCCTGACAGACCCAGGCACCAGACGATATCTCAGTTGCTCAGCCCGCGGCCCCAGCGCTCCCGACGAGGAGGCGGAGGAGGAGGAAGAAGAGGAGGGGGAGGAGGAGGAGGAGGAGGAGGAGGAGGAGGAGGAGGAGGAGGAGGAGGAGGAGGAGGAGGAGGAGGAGGAGGAGGAGCAGGAGGAGGAGGAGGAGGCGGAGGAAGAAGACCCTTCTCCCTGGGGCACTAGCCCCAGGCCCGCGTCTGACGGCCCCGCGGCGCGCAGG